GGTATTAGCTATATATATATATATATATATATATATATATATATATATGAGAGATTTCGTGGTGTCTTTGTCTTAAAGTGTCTATATATGCATTTTTGGTGAATATCTTGTTAATGAGACTTGGAATTGCAAATTATGTCTTACCAAAAGATTATATAAAATTTAGTTGATGTATTAGTTTTTGTTGGGTAGTGTCAAGATTTGCAGAACAAAATCTTGTTTCTTTTTATATATCAGTGGGAGCTTATGGGTTTAGGGTTTGGTAAACATAATCAAACGAACGACGAACATACAATTACGTATAGAATAATCGTTTGCTTATGTTTGATATGGAGGATTGCAATAAATCTCTTTCTCATTTTTTTTTCTTTCAATAACTTGAATTAGCATTGGAAAAGAGGACGAGAAATTGCGGTACAAAAACTGTTATCCCTAACCCTATTTCTTGACGAATCGGATATTCCAAAATCGGGTTTCGGATTTTTGTGAATTATGATTTTACGTTATGTGGGCTTTTGGCCCATAACCTGTAAAATATCAGATATTCTCCTTGGACTCGATATTCATATATACGCATATATATATATATATATATGATATTACTATGTATCCACCATCATAGTTTCAACATAATTTACATATGCTTTATACTCGATTCCAATAGGAATATAAACAAATGAATATATATACATAGATATGTATACACATATACATATATAATATGTATATATCTATGTATCTATGCATGTGTATATATATATATATATATATATATCTATGTATGTGTAATATTTTCATTTTTAAAATTTTTGTATTTTGACGGTCCATGTGCCATGTCAGATATCGTTTAGGAATGAAATGACAGTTTATTATTAGTATTAAATATGTTAAAACCTTAAAAGTTTGATTTTATTTAACATAGAAGTTTAGTAACATTTCATATTATTTTTTATAAATAGAAAAATTGAGTATTTAATTTGGAGTTTATTATATAGTTGAATATTTTATACTTGAAAAAAAGTAGAAAACTGCTTCGGATCTATTGTTTTGGAATATTAAAAATACAGGAGATTCCTAAAACGTCGGAAAAGGAATCGCATCGAATATAAAAAAAAAAGAAAAAGAAAAAAAAAGGAAATCTAAGAATGAGGAAAACATGGAGACATAACATAACTTGAGTCTTGAAATGTCGACAGAATCACGAAACCATTTCGACATGACAGCGAAACTCGAGGAAGAAGAAGAGATCGAAAGAGAAAAAATGCCAGATATGGTAATGTTCAACGCGAGTGCACGTCACGCGCTCCCTCACTC